AAAATGATAAAAACACTTACCTGTAAGCAAAACATTGTACAAATAAAGCCCTGTTCTCCTATAAGTATCTTTGTATTATCATACTTGTTGGCATCTTTTTGTCTTTCAAGTCAGCTTAATGAAAGTCTTCGTAAAACTACGAGGAAACCCCAATCATGACTCAACACATACACAAGAAGAATCTTTCATCGTGCAGCACCTGTGTCAGGTCAACATCTAACAATCAAATAGACTACAGATAGCAAAACACATACTGGCTTCATAACTAAGAAACAAAAACTATAAGGAAAGTTTGAACAAACTTAATCTCAGTCCAAGTCGGACCGAAACCTCGCCGTGAGCTCCTCTCTCCTATGTGCAAGTTATTTGTGTATTGTTACAATGAAATCTGAACACTCAAAATAGCCACAGTGATCTTTATTATTTCATAGTAATGTAAAAATATGTGACAGCAAAATCATTATTAACAGACTTTAAACCAGAATCACTGCACCACTGGACTGAACAAGGGACAAGTCAATCATTGCCGAAGCAACATGTAACCTGACCTCCTCCTGACCTGACTATTGTTTTGCGGCGATTACCCTGACTTGGCAAAAATAAAAGTTGAAATCAAATTGGCTTTCAGAAAAAAAAGTCTGCAACTAATACAATAAAGTACAATCCTACAATTTGCCTCTGCATGTCATCATGAAAATCTATATTGTGGTTGTAAGTGAGCACTTGACAGAACAAAGCACTATTCTCATACCTATTCTAATCCCTTTTGTTGTACAAGAATGGTATACAATACTGCCAAGATGAAAATTTAGACACATGTGCAACATCTGGGTATCTTTATTGTAAACGTTTCGCCATCCAGAAGTGGAACAGAATTCTTCCTCCGTAAGCCATGCATGTTGTAAGAGGCGACTAAAATGCCGGGAGCAAGGGGCTAGTAACCCCTTCTCCTGTATATATTACTAAATTTGAAAGGCGAAACTTTCATTCTTCCTTTTGGGCCACCCCACCTCAGTGGGATACGGCTGGTGCATTGAAAGAAAAAAAGAAGTTTCGTCATCCAGTGGCTTTATCAATACACATTCTAGGACATTATTTGAACACAATAGAACTATATACAAAAGATGAGGTAATCAGTCCCTCAGCCTTGGAGTTTGTGTGAAGAGCACCAGCTACTACAACTACTACTACAACTTACCCATACCTTTGGGTATGACCTACTTCCACTGGGGAATCCCGCCTACCAGTGACTATGCCCTCATCTCCCACCCGTCCCTTTGCACCTGATGGTTAGTATATAAGCGCCAGTCTTCTTGCCTCTGCTCCAGAATCTACACGACTACAGTGCTCTTCACACCAACTCCAAGGCTGAGGGACTGATTACCTCATCTTTTGTATATAGTTCTACTGTCTTCAAATAATGTCCTAGAATCTGTATTGATAAAGCCACTGGATGGCGAAACATCTACAATAAAGATACCCTGATGTTGCACATGCCGAAATTTTCATCTTGTCAGTATTGTATACCATTCTTGTACAACTTGTCAGACACTGCAACATCATGGAATCTTGGTTCAGATGACATCTACATGACCTTCTTCATGGCTACTACAACTACTACTACAACTTACCCATCCCTTTGGGTATGACCTACTTCCACTGGGGAATCCTGCCTACCATTGACTATGCCCTCATCTGCTACTCGTCCCTTTTCACCTGACAATTAGTATATAAGCGCCAGCCTCCTTGCCTGTGCTCCAGAGTCTACACGACTATGGTGCTCTTCACACCAACTCCAAGGCTGAGGGACTGATTGCCTTATTTTTTGTATATAGTTCTGTCTTCAAATAATGTCCTAGAATCTGTATTGATAATGCCACTGGATGGCAAAATGTCTACAATAAAGATACCCAGATGTTGCACATGTGTCTAAATTTTCAATCTCTTTTGTGTTCACAAACATTTATTCAAGCTACTTCTACTGCATAATTTTTCCATTTTTTTTTTCAACAAGTCGGCCGTCTCCCACCGAGGCAGGGTGACCCAAAAACAAAGAAAATCCCCAAAAAGAAAATACTTTCATCATCATTCCAACACTTTCATCTCACTCACAAATAATCACTGTCTTTGCAGAGGCACCCAGATACAGCCAGTGTGTCATTGTTTACCACCCAGTGAGGACAATTCCATGCGTACATGCGATACATTTTGCATTATTCCATTGTTTTTATTGTTTGTAACTGCTAAATAAGCCACTACGGGCCCGAAGGAAGCTTCTAGTGCCAGCCCTTTGGTAAAGAGGGTGAGAAACACTATAGAATTCAAGAAAGTTTGTAGAAAGATACGAAAGTGGTGATGGTAGAGGGTGGTAGTGATGGTGGTAGAGGGTACTTCCCCCACACACAGCCAGGTACTTTCCCACACACACACCAGCCAGGGTACTTCCCCACACACACACCAGCCAGGGTACTTCCTCACACACACACACCAGCCAGGGTACTTCCCCCCACACACCAGACAGGGCACCTCCCCACACGTACCAGCTAGGGTACTTCCCCACACACACCAGCCAGGGTACTTCCCCACACACACCAGCCAGGGTACTTCCCCACACACACCAGCCAGGGTACTTCCCCACACACACCAGCCAGGGTACTTCCCCACACACACCAGCCAGAGTACTTCTCCATACACCAGCCAGGGTACTTCCCTACACACACGATTTGATTTGAGTGGGACTTGTGCACGAATGAATAGAATTACCAAAGCTTATTAGTTGGGAAGCACTGAAAATTGGGTTGGGCAAATATGATTCTGTTAGTGAGATGGTTTGTGAAGGACATGCCTAGTATGGGCCAACAGGCCTGCTGCAGTGTTCCTGCTTTCTTATGTGCAAACATTTATGGATGAACATCACCCTGACACAGCTGTTGCAGGCCATGGTGGCAACATCTACAATGACAATGTTGTGTTCCATTTTTGGGAAATCTTCAAGAGATGCCAGAAACAGAGCTCTCTGGATAGATATTTTGTGCAACAGGGGTCCAGTGACTCTGAAGCTGGTCCTAGTGACTTTAAAAAACAAAGAAGGAAAGTAACCCCAGATAAGGACTTGGTACCTGTAGTCTTCATGGAAGGAGATTCCCTTTCCAAACAATAGTACACCTCCATCCTCTCCCCTCCTCCCGTCTCATCAATCATCAACAAGTCTTCAATAAAGGTAAGTGTCATTTTAGTAATGTTTTGCTCTGCATGTCTCATTGTTTTTCTGTGTAGGGAAATGTATATTTCAAGTAGAAAAATTATTTTGTTTAATACTTTTGGGTGTCTGGAACGGATTAACTGGATTTCTATTATTTCTTATAGGGAAAATTAATTCAGATTAAGTCAGATTCAGTACAGTGGAACCTCAAATTTCGAACTTAATCCATTCCAGGAGCTAGTTCTAAATTCAAAAAGTTTGAAAAGCAAAGCAATATTTCCCATAAGAAATAATGTTAAAACAACTAATCCGTTCCAGAAAACCAAAAATATTCATGAAAAAATACATTTCATAGAGACATGGGGACGTGGACAGAGCAGGCTGGCAGACAGGTCCGGTACCCAGTGGTTCGAAAATAGGGGCAAGTTCGATGATAGGGACAAAGTTGGTTCGAAAAAAAGCAGACAATTTTCGAAGAGTCCAATAAGCGATACGTTCGAAATTTGAGGTTCCACTGTATAAGACACTCTCTCTGGAACAGATTACATAATTACGTTATCCAGGGGGCCACTGTACTCAAGTCCAGCTATATGAAAATAACCAGTTTCCCTGAATCCCTTCATTAAATATTACCCTGCTCACACTCCAACAGGTCGTCAGGTCCCAAATACCATTTGTCTCCATTCACTCCTAACACGCTCACACATGCTTGCTGGAAAGTCCAAGCCCCTCGCCCACAAAACCTCCTTTACCCCCTCCCTCCAACCTTTTCGAGAACGACCCCTACCCCACCTTCCTTCCCCTGCAGATTTATACGCTCTCCAAATCATTCTACTTTGATCCATTCTCTCTAAATGACCAAGACCAAACCACCTCAACAATCCCTCTTCAGCCCTCTGACTAATACTTTTAGTAACTCCACACCTCCTCCTAATTTCCACACTCTGAATTCTCTGCATAATATTTACACCACACATTACCCATAGACAGGACATCTCCACTGCCTCCAGCCTCCTCCTTGCTGCAGTATTTGCAACCCTAGCTTCACACCCATATAAAAGTGTTGGTACCACTATACGTACTTTCATACATTCCCTTCTTTGCCTCCATGGATAATGACGTTGTTTATATATGAAAATATGCACCCTTTTATCAGTATTATTCTTGTGTTTAATTTTCACTACTAATCTGTTGATGGTATTAGTATACGGTATGTCACATATGAGTGGATGTGGTTGAGTGTGAGCAGGACATGATTAGCTTGGGCCAGTAGGCCTGCAGCAGTGCTCCTTCCTTCTTGAGCAGGTGTGACTTGGACCTGCCTAGCACAGGTCAGTAGGCCTGCTACAGTGCTCCTTCTTTCATTTGTTCTTATTAATGCCCAGTATTTGGAACAAATGCAGTAAGTATTTATAAGTTTTACAATGAGAGTCCAAATTATATAAAAAAAAGGTTCTTATTATTAATGCCGGAATCAATGATAATCTCCAAAATGCGCACAAGTCAGTTCCGTGCAAATCAGGTAATGCCTCAAGATGATGACAAATATATCCCTTGCTCATTCCATCTGGAGATACATCAGAAATAACTTTTTTTACAGCAACAGGGTAGGAAAGAAGTGAAATAATATTATAGCACATATTACGTAATTAATTTAACCATACTAAATTCAATATACAAAAGACTGAGTTCTTCTTTACAAAATTAAACTGTGACTTTCTTTACATAATTAAAACTTGCAGTAATAAGATGGCTCTAATCTAATGGGAACAACTGCGATTCTACAAGATTTACTTACCTTAACATTATTCATTGATAATTGTGCTCCACATTCATCCATGTATTGTTTGAGATCACGGTCTAAATATTCAAATACGAGAGTTAAACTCTTGTCAGTATGAACGATATCATGTAATGTGACTGGAGGGGAGAAAAGAATAAGAAATAATTAGTGTCATTTTATATACAGTATTATATATTGTAATTATTACTATTATGGGGAAGTACTAAACCCATGAGTCATACAGCACCCGGGAGTAAGGAATGGGAGGTAATCATGTTCAATTCAAAGAAGTGAATCAAGGAAACTACTTGAAGGAACAATTCTGTATAATTAAACAGTATTTTCTTTTAAACTTTCAACTAGTATACAAAATCTTCACTACAATGTATGCATCATCTGTACATTTCATAACAGCATATGTTGCAGCCTCACTAAGTTTAAATTCTCATATTCTGTACTAGTACTGCCTAAACTTTGAATATAATCATTTAAATGAATTTAAAGTAGCAAAGCCATACTTTACAAGTACTGCATGCTAACTTTCAAAATAAATCTAAAAAAAATCCTGAAACTTCTAGTTTTTAACATTTACAGAGGCTGAAGTATTTAAAAGATTCTTCATGTGGGTTTCCAATTCAGAGAGAAAAGTATACATTAAACAACATAGGCAGATATGTATAATATTAAACCCTTGACTGTCGCAACCCCAAATCCTGAGGTGTCTCCTGGTGTCGCAAAATTTCTGAAAAAAAAAAAAAAAAAAAAAAAAAAAAAAAAAAAAAAAAAAAAAAAAAAAAAAAAAAAAAAAAAAAAAATCTTATGAAATGATAAAGAATCTTTTCCCGATTGTAATGACACCAAAAGAACAAAATTTGATGGAAAACTGACGGAACTACACTCTCACAAAGTTAGTGACCAAGGCGATATTTATGAATCGACGATTTCGCTCACTTTGAGCACTATTTTCGGCTAATTCTATTGTTCCAGTTGACCAAACTCATAGCTATTTCTTTAGAACTCCATTTTTTCTATTGATTTTGTACAAGAAACTGCCAATTTACCGATTTCAACTACCCAATAACATGGTCAGAAATTTGCAATTTGGCCAATTTCACAAAAATTAAAAAAATATGACAATTTCAAAATAGGGTCCAGAATGAACAATACAGACATTCCTGGCTCTAAAATTACACTTTCTTTGTTCATCAGTCATGTCTCCAGGCCCCTCTGATATTACTCTTGCTTTCTATTTTGAATTTTTATTCAAACAAAAAATAGAAGATTTACTGTTATGCAGACTACTGCAATACTGTAATAATTATATAAATAACATCAACCCATTCATGACTGCATATTAGAATGGCTACTTGGACATTTATTGGAAAATGACATCATTTGTTTATTTTTGAACATCGGCAAAAATCAAATATTTCTCCTACTTTGAGCTCCATTTCAAGGTTCTTTTCATAGAAAAACCAATCAAAATCACCTCTATTTCTATAATATGTTTTCCATTCTATCAAATGAGATCAAGAAAACGAGAATACAACCATAAATACTATACGAAAATAGACCTCAGAGGCAGCATTTTAATTAAAAAAAAAAAAAAAAAAAAAAAAAAGGTCGGAGTTTTTTTTCTCAATATGCACTGCGTGCTGCAGGATTTTTTTATATGGTGTACACTGACCACACAGACTCACTCTCTCACGTGGGCCTACCAGCTTTCTCCTGCTTGATTTGAAGCCGCTAGAATTTATGAGTATATATACATGTACATCAAAATGGTGGCTCGTTAGACGTATATATACGACCAAAACAGTCAAAGGGTTAATTACATTAGACCCTCGAGTTTCCTAAGGCTCATGCATTGTAAATTTTGACTTTTGACAAATTTTTTCGTCAAAATATAGGCTCACGGTTCGTAATTTGGCTCGCCATTCATCGCTCATCCAGAACGCATACGAGTGGCCTCCCAGTGTCTGCACCACACAAAGGCACCCCACACATCACTACCAGCCGGTGTGGCATTGTTTACTGGCAAGTGAACATCACTCCACACGTCCATACATTTCATAATATTCCATTCTTTTTTGTGCTTGCAACTTCTAAATAAATCGCCATGGGCCCAAAGAAAGCGCATAGTGCCAGCCCTTTGGTAAAGAATGTGAGAAACATGACAGAATTCAAGAAAGAAAGAAATTGGCAACATGTACAGTGACAATGTCTTGTCCCATTTGAGGCAAATTTTTAAGAGACGCCAGAAACAGAGCTTTCTGGAACAATTTTTTGAGCGACAGGGGTCCAGTGACTCTCAAGCTGGTCCTTGTGGCATTAAAACACAAAGAAGGGAAGTAATCCCAGATAAGGACTTGGTACCTAAAGTCTTTATGGAAGGGGATTCCCCTTCCAAACAATAGTGTAACTTCTCCATCCTCTCCCCTCCTCCTGTCTCCCATACACCAACAAGTCTTTTCAATAAACGTAAGTGTAATGTCATTTTTGTTTTATACTTGATGTCTTATTTTTGCTTTATGTAAATCTATATTTAATGTAAAAAAAAAAATATTTCCTGTTAATACTTTTGGGTGTCTGGAAAGGATTAATTGGATTTACATTATTTCTTATGGGGAAAATGGTTTTGCCATTCGTAAATTTCAACTTTCGTCACACTCTCTGGAATGGATTAATTGAGAAATTTGAGTGTCCACTGTATAACTTTAAAATAATTCAATGTAATATTTCTATCAAAAGTTTTTCTATACACATACTCAAATAAAACAAACAAAAATCATTTCAAGAAATTCACAGATATTCTCTGCCAAAAATTAAATAATAAACAAATTCAGAGTGAAGGAAACAAGATAAATACAATACTGTATATACCATAATAATAAACAACTGTTAAATGAAACATAAATTTCCCCAGAAATTAATGTCATACATTTGATTACAAAGGCTTTAGAAGTTTAAATAAACCTAGTGTTTAGTTGAAAGACCATGCTTTTTTTGGTTACAACCTCATCAACCATACTGTTGCTACTTACAGCCTGTATGACACCAGTTGATCAAAATATTTTCACAAGGTCATTTTTTCCCCCCTTGAAGGTACCTAATGGTGTTCCTATCATTTATCTAGTTTTTAATAATTATCTATCTCTTTTTTTTTATGCTTTGTATTCTATAGATTATTCACAGCCTGTAGAGAGAGTGTTTCCAAAGGTCACCGCCCTTGTGACCCAGCTCTAGGCCAGGCTGAATGATCGCTGGCCTCATCTCGTAGCCTGTCGGTGTTAGCTACACACAGTCCAACATACGAATCACCCAAGTCAGTTCCTGACTGATCAGGAACTGACTTGAGGAACCTTATTTCTCTCCTAAAGATAGCTAGGAATCTGATGGTAACCTCCCTCATGCATAAAAAGAGAGGGGTTTAAGAATCTTGGTCCCTTTATTCTTACTGATTTATCTCTTAGTGGTTCCAGTGTATGCCTGGTTTTAGCTGGGGATATAATGCACTTACACTTAGGTCACACTACACATACATGTACACGTTTATTTATACACGCTCATCCGAGTTTTCTCTGATTTTATCTTAGTTCTTGTTCTTTTTATTTTTCCTTTTATATCCATGGGGAAGTGGAATAAGAATCTTTCCTCCGTAAGCCATGCGTGTTGTAAAAGTCAACTAAAATGCCAGGAACAAGGGCTAGTAACCCCTTTTCCTGTAATAATTACTGAAAAGAATAAGAAGAAAACTGTCAAAGTGGAATGTCTGAATGTGCGGGGATGTTGTGTGAATGATAAGAAAGAGATGATTGTGGATGTTATGAATGAGAAGAAGCTGGATGTCCTGGCTTTAAGTGAAACAAAGCTGAAGGGGGTGGGAGAGTTTCAGTGGAGAGGAATAAATGGGATTCGGTCAGAGGTTTCAAATAGTTAGAGCTAAAGAAGGAGTAGCAATAATGTTGAAGGATAAGCTATGACAGGAAAAGAGGGACTATAAATATATTAATTCAGGGATTATGTGGAGTAAAATGAAGGTTGGATATGAAAAGTAGGTTATAGTAAGCATATACATATGCACCTGGAGAAGAGAGAAGTGTAGAGGAGAGAGAGAGATTTTGGGAAATGTTGAGTGAATGCGTGGGGAGTTTTGAGCCAAGTGTGAGAGTACTTGTGGTTGGGGATTTCAATGCTAAAGTGGATAAAAATGTTGTGGAGGGAGTAGTAGGTAAATTTGGGGTGCCAGGGGTAAATGAAAACGGGGAACCTTTAATTGAGCTATATGTAGAAAGAGGTTTGGTAATAATTAACATATTTTATGAAAAAGAGGACAAATAAATATACAAGGTATGATATAACACATAATGAAAGTAGTTTGTTAGATTATGTATTGGTGGATAAAAGGTTGATGGGTAGGCTCCAGGATGTACACGTTTATAGAGGGGCAACTGATATATCGGATCATTATTTAGTTGTAGCTACAGTTAGAGTAAGAGGTAGACGGGACAAGCGGAAAATGGCAACGACAAGTAAGAGGGAGGCAAAAGTGTATAAACTAAGGGAGGAGGAAGTTCGGATGAGATATAAGCAACTATTGACAGAAAGGTGGGCTGGTGCAAATATGAGTAGTGGGGGGGGGGGGGGATGAAGAGGGTTGGAATAGTTTTAAAAATGCAGTATTAGAATGTGGGGCATAAGTTTGTGGTTATAGGAGGGTGGGTGCAGGAGGAAAGAGGAGTGATTGGTGGAATGATGAAGAGTGTGATAAAAGAGAAAAAGGTAGCTTATGAGGGGTTTTTACAAAGCAGAAGTGTTATAAGAGTAGAGTATATGGAGAGTAAAAGAAAGGTGAAGAGAGTGGTGAGAGTGCAAAAGGAGAGCAGATGATAGAGTGGGAGAGGCACTGTGAGTTAAACAAGTCAAGAAAGCCTAGGGAACAAATGGATTTGTCAGTTAAAAACAGAGTAGGGGAGTTAGTAGATGGGGAGATGGAGGTATTGGGTAGATGGCGAGAATATTTTGAGGAACTTTTAAATGTCGACGAAGAAAGGGAGGCGGTAATTTCATGCACTGGCCAGGAAGGTATACCATCTTTTAGGAGTGAAGAAGAGCAGGATGCGAGTGTAGGGGAGGT